AATTTAAAAAAAAAATAAAAAATAAAAATAAAAAATAAAAAAAAAAAATACATGAAAAGAATGAAAAAGCCAAAATTAAGGATTAGGCTTTGTGTGTGGTCTGAGCACTTGGCTTTACAGGTTCAGTGTGGCAGGAAGGTTCAGTGTGTGGTCCTGGTCCAGTCAGATGCCCTGGGAGTACTTTTCCAACAGTGTGTCACAGTGATTCTGAGATGTGTACTAAAATTGTCCCCAATTGTAAGGCCAATTTTTATTCTTTTCTTTTTGGTATTGAACCTTTCTTGGCAGTATAGGTGATCTACCTCTTTGTTTTTTCATACTGTTACACTACATGCTCTCCAGTTAGACATTGGTTAGCTCCTTTCTCCACTGTGGAGGTCTCTTCACCTTTTACTCACTTATGTATAGGAGGGGTATGGAAAACAAGAGCATATTTTTACTTAAAGCTGGTTAGATACTTTTTCAGGAAAGTCATATGACAGGTTTACTGACGTTTTGAGTTGTGTTAAACAGTAACTTCTGTTTTTTTGCAGGGGATAATCTCGGCCAACAGTACAATAGCCCACAAGAAGTAATTGGCAAACGAGGTTCTGATATCATCATTGTAGGCCGGGGCATAATAACAGCTGCTAATCGTCTGCAAGCAGCTGAGATGTACAGGAAAGCTGCCTGGGAAGCTTATTTGAGTCGACTTGGCGTTTGAGTGTCTCGGATGCATTTTGTGAAGGCCTTGAAGATCCATGGCCTCCTGAGAAGCACAGGCTGGAGATAATAAGCAGCCTTTACTACTGCTTGGGTTCTACCAGGGGTTCTTCTGTGTTGGAATGACTTCTAGAATTATCCATGTTTAGGAAGTACTGAACAGCTTGTAATCACTGCATTATCGCTGTAGTACGTTCATTTTCAAGCATTCTTGTAGTGAGACTGATGTCGGTTAGACAGTCACAGTCCCTTCTGTGTTAAGGTCCTCCACATTTGAGGATCCCCGCCCCATTTCTAAGCCAGACTTTTTTATTCTTTTAATTGCCGTGACTTGAAAATTTTAGGACATCAAGAGGCTAAAACCAGTACAGTTCTTGTGTCCTTTTATTCTGTCTAATGTGATGCCCAAATAATATTAAAATATTAGCTATACTCTTCCTTCCCCTCTTAAATGTGGTCACCAGGTTTCCAAATGCTGCTGGTTCAGAATGGGGAAGGGGCAAGATGACTGTAGCTGAGCCCCTGAAGCCAATATCTGGTTTTTATTTCAACAAACGGAGAGGCCTCAGTCCCAGGTTCCTACTGCCTTACTTGGGATTACAAATAAGCAAACTGTTCCTCCATTTATTTAAAAAGACAGTAGCATCAAGAGGCTTCAGGTTCCATTTGGAAGTTTGCTTGAGTATCTTTAATTGTCCCACCTGTCACTGACAGAGAGCGACGTCAGCCTTCACCAGAAATAAAGAGAAAGGAACCCAGCAACGGAGCTAATGGTGTTGTCCATATCTCTGGGTTCCACCACATTTCTGTGGTGGAGCCGAGGATGTCAGCCTTTCCACAAAAGCCCCACCTTCACACATGAGCAATAACCAATTAGATAGCCCTCTCCTCAACCCAGTGTCTGTCAGAAATTCCTCCGAATTTCTGGATGACCCCTATTCTCCCGTACTGATACAGATTTTTTTCCATTTTTATATTTCTTTGGCCTATTCAGGAAGCATCTTGGAGGGTGTGGGCTCAGATGACCGTTTTGAAATGGCCCCACTACACAAGGCCCTGTGTGAGCAGGGCCAGGGCAGCAGTTGCATTTGAAGGCTCAGTTCTGACTCTACCAGCACACTCACGATCTGCCTTCCCCTTGTCTGGGCCTTTCCTACAGGCAGTGGCAGGTATGAAAGGACACGTGGCGTTTCCTCAGGCTGGCTGCCATCCCTGACTGCCCCGCTCTTCCAGTGGCTCAGCGGGAAGCCTGGGACACTGCATTCCCTCCTGGTGTCTGCACTTAAGAGCTGCTGCTCTGAAGTCCCAGTGCTGCATCTCCAAAGAAATTCCCTTCAGGCAAGGCAAGTTATCAAAGCATAGGACTGGATGGGACAGGAAGGTGTGGCCCTCGGAGCTACCCTGAGGGAGCTGACTGTGAGGAAGAGGAAGAATAACAACACAGGAATCTCTCTAGGTGCCTGCAAAGCCTTGGTGACCTTGAGGCTGAGAGACCTTTGGAGTGATGTACTGGGGTCTCCAGTGGCCATTTAATGGCCACTGGTCAGTGGTTCTCACACTTCAGCATGCATCAGAGTCACCTGAAGTCTTAAATCAGACGCTGACCCCAGCCCCAGTGTCTGACTGCATAGGTCTAGGCTGGGGCTTGAAAAATTTGCATTCCAACAAGTTCTCATGCTGCTGGTGTAGAGACCACTCTGAGAACCACTGCACACCACAAGTCATAGGTTTGTTCTGCATTGAGCTGGCCTTGAGGTCTGCCTCCCTCTTGCTGAGTCATCTACTCCTTCCCCTTAGAAGTGTAAACTGCCACACCAGGATGCTGGCACTGTCTCTTCTGGTTTTGAAGCTCACCCAGGGCCCCCTCTAACTTGAAGGGAGGCCAGAGGAGCCTCAAAGAATCCCCTGACCCCAGCACATGTTTAAAATGCAGACCTCTGGGCCCCATCATCAGAGATAATGCTTTAGCAGACTTGCTGTTGTTGGCCTGGAAATCTGCATTTCTTACAGAGGCCTCAGGTGTTTTTGATTTATCTTGAGAAGAAGCTCAGTGCTGGCAACCTCTCATCTAAGCAAGTGCCCAGTCTAGAGTCCTAAAACTTTGGAGCACAAATTGATTCAGACCGAGAACTTGGGCTGTCCTGGGGCCTGTGAGGGTGCTATTCAGAACAGAAGTATTTTGGAGGCATTAGATTAGCCCTTTCTCAGTCAAGGACTATTGACAGAGCCTGCGCTCTAAGCATTCTAACACCTGGTCCTAGTGAGGAAAATGGGAGCAGTTTTCACACTGCCCAGAGCATTTGTAAAACCACTGGAGTGGAGAACTCCCCTGGCCTCTTGCAGCACTTGAGGCTATGAGCCAGTCGGTTTGTACGCTGGGGAACCTAAGCAACTTGGTCCAGCTCCTCTTACTCTAGAGCTCTGCAAGTATAGACCTAGATGGTACAGGCACCTGTTCACAGCGCGGGGGTGGGGGTGAGGTGAGATGTGTGTGTGTGTGCGTGTGCGTGTGCGCGCGCCAGCCAACTGGATCCCGGCTCCCAAGGAACAGGTTTCCCAGCCCATCCTAGTTAGTGCAGTACTGACCCATAGATGGAGTCTGTGGGACTCCTACCAACCATGGGTTTGCTGCTGCATGACACAGCGCAGCAAACGTTTCTAACGAATCCAGCACAAGTTTTTGTTTGGAAAACTAAAACAAAATTTTAGTTTGGCATTTGAGAACTTGATGGAAAAATTTAAAGATGGTATGATAATCTTGCAAACTACATTTGTGGGCTGGAAGATCCAAGTGGAAGGAATCGAAATTCGAAACAAAGGGATAAGGAAATGGAAATAATGAGGGAGGAGATGAGAGGCTTAGAGGACAGATCCATGCATATAGGAAGACATAAGGGGAGGAGAGGAAATTATAGAAATAACGGAGGAAGATTTCCACAGTTTGAAAAGATCCTTGAGTCAGCAGATTAAAGGGGCCCGCTAAGTCCTAGGCAGGCGTTTTGGACAAAGGCATGCACCTAGGCACATCCTGTAAAAATCGCTGAACTCCAAGGGTAAAAAATTGTATAAGCATCTAGTGGAGTAAACTACTTGCAAAGTAAAAGGAATCAGACTGGTAGTCTACTGTCATCTGTCACACTGGAAGGTTGGAGACAGGTAGTGACATCCACAGACCCTGAGAAGGGACTGTCATAACCAACTATGAACCCAGCCGTATGATCCCCTCTCCGGTTGCAGCAGCCTGACTGAGTGTTCTTAGGCTCCCGGTGCATGCTGCCCTTCAGCGCGCCCTCTCATAGTCACCTGTGAGTGAGGTGCACTGAGCGTATGCCTTTAAAGGGCTCGTCAGGTGGAAGCTGTGAGTAAATGTAACCAATAGAAAACGGGACCTGTCAGCAGCTGAAGTGACTAGTATAACCCAGCATCTTAGGAAACAAATTGGGAGCGCCTTAGAGATCCAATCAGCCCATTTCACAGATGAAGAAATTGAGGCCCATTGAGAAACAATTTGCACGAGGTTGCAGAACTAATTACAAGCAGAGTAAGGACTAGAATTGTCTCTTGACTCCAATTTGGTATTTTTGTTATTACACTCTTTTTACTCCCTTTCTGTGTAGGCAGATATAGTCACTTTCACCCCTTTATGTCTATATGCAGATAAGTCGTTAATACATATATTATTCTTTCACCATTTAATCAAGTATTTACTGAACACAGGAAGTGAGCCAGACATACATTGTCCTGGTCATTATGGAACTTAGTTTCTAAACTTAATTTTCAAAAAGGACTTCCATACTATCATGAGACATCAGCCTGTCTTCATATCAGTTACAACTCGAGACATATTCTTCCACTGCTACCAGGATTCAATAGAAAGTGCCAAAACTGAAGCAGCAATTCTATTAGTGTCCTGATTCTTTATCCCTCCCTGAATCCGTACACTTTGCTACCTGACTCAGAAGTTCCTCCCATTCTAGGTGGTGAATATTTCCACACCCTACTGATGTTGGGCTTGGCCTTATAACTTGCTTTGGCCAATGGAATGTGGGTAGAGGTGATGAAACTGTTTCTGCTCACCTCTCTTTCACTCCTGCTGCTACCATAAGAACATGCCCTGGTTAACCCACAGGTCCCAGAAGAATAAAAGAAAGTACAGCAGCGTTCACTCCAGCCTTCCACAGCCTGATTCACAGAGGCCCCGGCTGGTCTGTAAGCCTGTGACCATGATAATCAATGCTTATTATTGTATGCCATGGAATTCTGGGATGTGTTGTTAAGCAGCAGTAGCAAATACACATTTTACAATGTGCTGCAGCCCTCCCAGATCCAGCTCTGGTTACCAGGAAGACAAAAACTGTTCCACCAAGATCAGCCTGCCTTCAGCCTTCTCAGTCTTCACCTCTGGCTGCTTTTAATGAGCTCTCTGAAAGAAACAGCTGCTTGGCTCTTGTGTGGATACTGCATTTCGACACAGTGAGCCCAATATTAGTCATTGACAGCGACTATGGGTAATGCCATGGACTCTGCTGCAATTTGCTTTCTCCGACTCTTAACAGGCGGATATGCTATCATGTCATCAGTGCTGGAGCACACAGTTGGCTGACTAAGCGTGGGCTAAGAGGACCAGTGAAGCAACAATAGCAAAATATGTTTTTTGAAGGAATTTGATACATTCTTTTAAAAGCATGGGGGAAAATAAAAGGATTCCTTGAGCTTCTCTACATTTACTCTATAGTTAATGCTATTCTATTAAATGCTGTTTTTATTTTGGATTACAGGATGTGGGACACCATGTCTTTTTTTAGATTCTGGGCATTGTATAAATTACCCATTTTTATTTTTATGTTTTGCCCTTCGTTTTCTCCATAGCCCTTCCAAGCCCAAACTTGGCCTTCATGCCTCTGGGAAGGAGGGCCACAACGGAAACACAGAGAAACAAAACAATTAGGATATTTTTTCACTTTTAAAGTTCAAGGTTTGGGCATGAGTACTGGTTTGGAAGTACATTTGCCTCTCTCCTTCCCACCAAAGGGGTGGGGGAGGCGTCTTCCTGTGGCCTGGAGAGAGGAGCAGGAGGCGGAGGGACGGCCACAGTCAGATGCTGGGGTGGGCTGTGATGCTGGCTCCCCCACCGCAGGCCAAACCCCAGGGAGGGAGGACGGCGGGGAAGGAGGGAGAGAAACAGATGCCCAGACAGCAGAGGAGCTCTGGGGCTTGCTTTTCCAGGCAGGGGCCAGGAAAGCGGGCCATCCCGAGACCCCACCCCAGCACAGAGCATGGCAGTGGACTTGGAGGCCACGTGTGTCCGGTAGAGCCTGAGGCAGCCTGAGCTTCCTCTGGCTCCAGTGTGACGTGGCAGAGAAGCTGAACTTTCCGGAAAAGGGCGTGGGAGTTAGCTGGGAAACAGATCCGGTGGGCCTGCAGTGTCTCGACCACCACGTAAGGACATTTCAGTGGAAAGTGGTTCTGATCAGGACGACGATGTCTTAGCGGGTGTCAGCGTGCACAGACGTGGCTCCATGAGCCTGCCTCTAATGTCATAACTGTATTGTCTTCCTGCATTTAGCAGCCCGCCAAGGTGGGGTGTCGGGAGGATCCTGCAATGCTTGTGTTTAACAAAACATACTGTGCCTATTTACCCAGTAGCTTGGTTTTCTCCATCACTTGACTAGATACTTGAAGTAGAGATAGCGTTGAGTCAAAAGACAAAAAAACCATAAAATTATGTTTCTTGCATTCTTGAATGGATGGCCTAAAAATTCTTACTCACCTCCTAGAATTTGCTCAGGGAAAAACAGCCTAGTCAGTCTTTGATTTCCTACCATCCTTTATCCTTTCTTCTTCCCTCCCTTACCTCTGCCATCCTGCTGCCCTCTGAGTTCCCCAAAACCCTGTAGTATCCTCTTGGGCTGCATCGTTTCTTCCTCACTTCTGTTGCCTTCTTCACCTCTTAAAACTCCAGGTCCATCCAATAGGAGGTGTCTCCCAACTCAAATCAAGCCTACAGTCTCATGGTTCGAGCTTAAAATAGCCCCTCAGAACGGTGCGGGTAGGAGGGAAAACCAAGCAGCCCCAGCCTCCTGTCTCTCCTGGGACCTTTGCCCAGCTCTACCATGGGGTGCGTGTGACCCATACAACCCTCATTTGACAGCGTTTTGTTCAGTGCAGATTTTCTAAAATATTGTTTTATTTGCCACGGGCCGGACATGAATGCCAACCAGCACGTCAGCTCATACAAATATCCCATTGCCACTGGGCTAGCTGAATTAGCCAGGGAACAAGCCATGCACCATTGCCTAGGGCAACCCCTTTGTCACCTCCTTGGAAAGGAGTCTTTAAAGCATTGAATTTTTGTGCCAGGAATCATGGAATTTCTGTCAGTTGTCATCTTTCCTCATTTTAAATAATAGTTCCTTGAACTGTACCTGGAGTTTTGGTTAACATGCATGTACCAGAGATTGTTTATAAGATGGGGACGAGAGAAAAAATACAAGGAAGAAGAAGAGACCTTTTATAATTTCTTAGTCTGCACATGGAGGTACTTCATTTTATCTCAGTGAAGATAGGTGCCCTCAAGGCAGACACTCAGGTGACTCCCTAATTATACCTTAGAGTTCTGAGATAAGAAAACAACAGTCACACTTTTTCCAGAAGAGGAAACAGCATCAAACCAGAGAAGGGATCCCTGAGCTGGGGTCACACTTGTCCACCCTCATTCCAAGTGTGACTGACCTCAACTTCCTCCTTTGTAAATGGGGGAAACCCCGTCCCTGAATACCATATAGGCCTATTGTGAGGGTCACAGAAGACGCTGCTTTTACTCTCAGGGGTTTGATGTTGCGTGCAGGTAGGCAATGAAGCTTTCATTGCTGAATCTTCCAGGGTATTTGTGAAGTCAAACTGAGACAGCAAGTGGTATCCAGTTGCCCTGATACATAGGTTTCAACTTTTTAGTCCATTCCTTATTTACATATTTATAAGTGTGTATTGTGACATGGGGTCTGTAGAGTTCATGCAAAAAGGGTCCACGGCGCAAAAAGGTGAAATACTCCTAGCCTAGAAGGTCACTGGGGCTTATGACCCTTTGCTTAGTTACGATTTAGACCTTGCCTTTTTACAACAAGAATTTGAGGCCACTTAAAATGAAGACATTATGCAGGACATCTGTCAGAAGGATTAGAAACCACGTGTGGAGTGGGAGAAAGGGCAGGGGGTGGGGGGCAGCAGAGAAGGCAGGGTTCGGTGGAGGACAAGGATCCCGGCAAGAGCTGGAGGTAGGTTTAGTGCCCAGCTTCCTGACAATGAAGACACCTGAAGAGGTTATACAGGTCCCCTTGTATGACCACATGAAGCCTCAGAGCTTCCCGGCATCGAGCTCCAAGAGAAACAAACTGCATATGAAGGCCTCATCGGGACCCATCACTCAGCCCACTTTGGAGGCAGCTGTATCAGATTGGACTAGGTGGGCAGTGACAGTCGGAGAGCCCCTCCCAAAGCCACAAGTTCAACAGGAGGAGCCTTGGGGACTGAAAAGGACAATCCTTTAGGCATAGCTCTCGCTTAACCAGCACCACAGTCAGCTGAACCTTCTTTCAAGCTTCTCTCGTTCTCCTTTTTTCACTTCTCAATCTCCCCGTGAGGGTCTGAAGGTTTGGATGGAACCATGTCCCGACTAAGAAATCTGTAGACCCTGAACTGGGATGGGGAGACGAGGAGTACAGAAGCCAGGTTGGGGGACCTCGCTAAGCCTCCTCAGCCTGCTGACCCAGGTGACAGGGACCGGAATGTCTCATCCACAGGCATCTAAAAGCCGCAACTAAATCCCGGGGGCAGAGCCCGCTCAGCGTGTGCGTGTCCTGCCTGCATCTCCAGTGCTGGCTCGACACATCCCCACAAGTTTCCTCAGGCACCTCAGACACACAGGCCCAACACTTACCTCCCGAGTTTCATCCAAGCTGCTGCCATCTTCCTCCTGTTCTCCACCAGCTCCTCTCAGCTCATCACCAAGCCCGGCTGGGGCTGAGTGCACCAGGCTGCCCTTCTCCCGCAGCTGATAGCCCTCCACAGGGAAGAGCTATTCAGTTAACAAGTGTCTTTGGAACAGAGACTAGGACCTCTCTTCCCCTCTGATCTCCCCATCTGTTGGCTGTTACCTAAAATTTATCCCAGTGTTCTGTGATAATCAACCTTAAACTTTGATCTTAATTAAGCAAATTAAAAAAAAAAGTGTCTTCCCAGAAGAGGTGACCGTTAGTTACTTTAGTATGACTAAGCACTAGCCAACCAAACTGAATGAGAGTCCCCAGTCCTTATAAAAAGAGCAACACTATCATGGGGATGTAAAGTATAGCATAGGGAATATACGAGGACTGACAATTAAGTTTGTGAACTCATCCTATAAAAAGCGCTACATATCTCATTGCTGAATATCACTATGGTCACCTTTGAAGTACTCCCCTTGGGAAGCTATGCGCTGACACCAGCGCCTAGTCCACCCTTCAAAGCAATTTTGGAACTCTTTCTGGAATGGCCATCAAAGCTGTTGTCGTATTACCCTTGATGTCCTGAATGTCACCAAACTGTCTTCCTTTCAATATTTCCTTTCTCTTCGGGTAAAGAAAGAAGTCATTGGGGGCCAGATCAGGTGAGTAGGGAGGGTGTTCCAATACAATTATTTCATTACTGGCTAAAAACTCCCTCAGGCAATGCCATGTGAGCTGGTGCATTGTGATGCAAGAGCCATGAATTGGCAAAGAGTTCAGGTCATCTTAACTTTTTCACATAGCCTTTTCAGCACTTCCAAATAGTAAACTTGGTTAACTGTTTGTCCAGTTGGTACAAATTCATAATGAATAACCCTCTGATATCAAAAAAGGTTAGCAACATCGTTGCAACAAATTCGTGAACTTAATTGTCAGACCTCATATAGTCAATAATATTGTAGTAACACTATATGGTGTCAGGTGAGTACTAGACTTATTGGGGTGATCACTTCATGAGTTATATAAGTGTGTAATCACTATGTTGTACATCTGAAACAAATATAGTATTGTATGTCAACTCTAATTGAAACTGAAAAATTATTTTTTAAAAAGCAACACCATAATCCCAATTTGGTTCAAATTACATATATATATATATATATATATATGCGTAGAAAAATGACTGAGAAGTCATACACAAAAAGGTCAAGAGTAGTTACCTCTGCGTGGTATGATTATAAAAGATTTTTACTTTCTTTATAATCTCTTTATTTTCTATGTACTACTTTTGCAATAAAAAAGTAAGTTGTTTAGAATCAATAAAAACAATAAGTATCATATGAAAACCTGTATTATAACAACATAGATTGGTTACAAAGGTAAATAGTGTCCCTTTCTTCTTTCCAACAAGTGCAGCACTGATCATCTTTCCAAACAGACACCAGAAAAAATTTTCCAGAGACTGCCACGCACTCCTTGCAGAGCCACTGTGGCCACACAAAGGCAGTACCACTGCATTGGAAGGCTCACTTCCATCTGTGCCTCCGCAGCCCAGTACGGATTGAAAGGGCAGTGTCAACTCCCAGTTTGAGAGAGCTTTCCAGCCCCTTATTTATGTTAATTGGTGGCACAGGGGAAAGAAGGGTATGGCCAAACCGCCTAAGAAATGAGGGAATCACTTACAGTATTGGGCAGAATCTCAGAAGTCAGCTCTCCAAACAGCTTGTCCCAAGAGCTTC